ATGGCATTACACTACTCCATGCAGATGCACGTTGGAGTCGTCCGACGGTAGCTGATGCCTTTCAAGCGGGCAAGGTCGTGGTGACGGAATGGATGCTTACTACAGTCAACGTTGATGTCGAAACTACTACCGTAGTACATACATGACTATGATATTCCATCGACGCATAATTACACTCGTATCATGCAGCCTGCATTGCCAAGGACTATCCTCAATAGTGTTTCGTGATGTGCACGGATTTGTGATTGAATTATCCAATCACTGTACACGAGTGTTTTTATTGGTTAAATATGAAATCGTAGGCAATCTCCCTACGAATTCCATAAATAAGTCATTTTATCTATAAACATCATGTACTGTATTAAGGTAATCCATCAATATCGCGAACGCTTTTTGTGCACTAAAATGTCAAATGTTTGAAGCACTCCACCACAAAAAAAACCTCGAATAAAAAAAACTAAAGGTAGCATAGGAAAATATAAATCCAGCTGCATTTTTTAGTGCCAACTAGTGCCTAAAATATCCCAATAATCGATTTGTATTTTGAAATTAAAGCGTAACGTTAAGAATTGGTGAAACCTTTTTGGCTTTGTATTTCGTGAACGGTCGTAATATCTTAGTTTTGTCTGTATGGAATATTAATTTACAAAATAATATACCTGGGTGTCGTGACGCGTTTTATTTTATACATAATCTCAATTCTACATTAAATTTGAAGGCATTATAATAAGATTCAAGTTGAAATTTGTATTGGACAACATAAAAATGAACATAGTGTTGAACTTCAAGGTGGTGTCCTGATCCTTTGGCTGAATATAATCATATCCAATGAAAACTCCTCATTACAGAATGAAGCCATTGGATTGGATATAATGACCACCGTTCCCGATATTGATGGCGTTCGCGATATTGATGGCGTTCGCGATATTGATGGATTACCTTAGGGTTATTATACTTCACTTGATGGATTTACTAGTATACAGTATGACTAACAGTAACATAAAATGCCAATTGTTGCAAACAACATTCATCCGATTTCGTAGGCCCAATATACAAACATCAAGAGAGGAGTAAGACAGCCAGCCTATGTTTTCGCGTTCACACCAGGATATTGTATACAACTGCCTATATATATGACGAATGGTGAGTGATTATCCGAAATCATAGGTCACACAGCTGACGTTGAAAACGGCATCGATAATTCGATAAAAACCATATTCTACGAAGTCAATGGCGCCGATGACGATCCTGTAGCGACGTCTCCTGTCGCTACAGGACATCATCGACTCGTGCCTCGCAGACAGCACGAAGAAGCGATATGAGTCCGGACTTCGCCAACTCATCAAGTGGATACACTTGACCGGTGGTACATACCTAGCTAAAGACGACGGCACGATCGACATGCGCATTTTCCAGTACACACACTTCGTCCGGTTCATCGTGTTGGGTGTACCAAATACACCCGTCAAGGTCGGAACAATGTCTGGGTACCGTGCTGCACTGCGGTGGTACTACAAGCGCGACGACGTTGCGGCGCCTGTGGAGTACTCAACCAAGCTCAAAATGATATTTACAGGTCTGCCAATGTGCGTCATCCTTTACGGTACTCATACCACGTTCAACCTAGGTATTCACCGCTTGACAGCAACTGTCGAGCAGACATGACCCTTAAGGACTCGGGCAAACGGCAACTTGGATTCAGCATGTACGAAGCCTTGTGCCAGGAGTCACTGAAGACATCCGACAGTGGATTTGTGCACCTGTACCTCGTGATATCGTGGAACATGATGGCGCGCTCTGAGTCGACTGAGGCTATTCACATTGATTACATTTCGTTTGAAGACGATGCCATTGGCGTCACGTACTTCAAGTCCAAGACTGACCAGACTGGGTCCAAGCGCCGCGACCCTCGACACGTCTACACGAATCCATCGTCACCGGCAATTTGCGCGTTCCTCGCTCTGGGTATGTATTTCGCATGCAATCCAACTTTAAACAACGGATCGCTTTTTCCTGGTGCTAGCCAACGCGACCGTACTCAAAGCCTTGGTCTACACAGTGCTGGGTGAAGCTGCAAATGGAACAGTTGAAACTCACTCCATTCGAAAAACAGCAACGTCTAATGGCTGCAGCAAGTGCGTGGCATTAGGTGGTAGTAACACAAGCACGATTCCATAGCTGTCGCAAATGAACTCACTTTTGGTGCAATGATGAGACGAGCAGTTGTCTAGATCGAGGACAACAGGTGGACCGCAACGGGCGATGAGTTTCCACTCTCCAAATGACACAAGCCAGGTATTGAAGATCGCTGCGTTCATAAAGGCCTTGGGAGCTAATGTGATCAGCGCGCCATCGACGCGACAGGAATCCATCACGCTCGTTTCACAGGCCACCCCAGGTAAGATAAAGACCTGGTGGACGATTTATAAGTTAGCGGCTGCGGTCATGACGATAGTGAGGTGATTTTCTTCGACCCACACGCATCTCGATCCGCGAATCGCAACAACCTTCTTCGATTGGTTATTTGGTCTTGAAACTCGTTTCATCAACGTTGTATACATCGCTGGTGTCGTATTCAAATCCAACGCAAGCTCGAATTAACGAATTAAAGCACGAGATGATACCTTCCTTGTTCACTGCGTTGCGACCCGTTGACAGCAGCTGTGACGACAGAATCGGATTTCGAGTGCGAATCTTCTGATACCATCCGCGGATCACCCTTCGTGGAACATTACCTTGGATCGATATGTGGCCTGCCTTTTGATTACTGTTCGCGGTCCACAGGCCTTCCACGACGCTGCATTGCAGCGATCCACTCAACAATATCGTCCTCGATCGTGGCAGGGAGAACTTGCTTTGTAACACGCTTGTCTTTTATGACCGTTCCGTGCTCCTTGACCATTTTGATGTAATGGAACAAAGTAGTTCTGGTAACAGGAGAACTTCGTACGACCGCTGCTTTCAACTCGCCGCACTGTACGCGTCGAACTGCTTCGAGGATTTCTTCGACCGTGGCGACCATGTCTCGAATTCACTTTGAGGGAAAATTTTTATTGTTCGTGTCGAATAAAAATTCGACAAGACTCTTCATGACCAATTGTAAAAAATATGTGCTTGAATATTATCATATCCAATCGTACACGAGCAAATTCTAATGCGACATCCTTATGGGTAGATAATCGACTAGTCCAGGAAGTAGATGCCGTTCAGAAAATCGATCCGTTACCTTACCTGAAGTTCGAAGGTGCGATTATTCCCTGGTTACTCTGGAATCCGGATTCTCTGTTTTTCCCAGTGTAAAACTTAAGTTCAGCTTCGATGGGTTTTTCTGGTGACTTATCAAAATTTCAATAATCCCCATTCACTCATAACGTAAAAGTCCAATTTGAGAACACTTTTTCGGAGACGCTGCCGTGGAAGGCATGTAACTCGACTCGTAGGTATCGGATTATAATTCTAGAAGTGTTATGAAGCCAAAATCCAGGCCTATTCGGGAGTTATAAATGCGATATGATTCCTGTTATAATTCCTTATCATTTACATCACTTTGTCCAGTAACAAGATGGATTCCCAATAATCCGGATTATCCCAAAAGAGAGGATTATCCCAAATTCGACAAAGTTCGATTTGGATAACACATGGCAATGTGTGCTAACAGTTCTCGACAACAACGAACGCCTATTCTATTTCTCTATAAACTTATTGAGGTATGCAATCATAGAGAACTTTGACTCAGAATTAGATTTTCAAAACGAATACATCTATTTTGGAAGTTATTCGATCTAGTCATCCGAGTCGCTGCCATCATCACTTGAATTTCCGCTCGCAGCTGACGACGACTCAGACTCCAGTGCGTCGACTTGAACGAGATGATTGTGAAGCAATTGAAGCTTCTCTTGCGCTAAACGAACACAACCCTTTATGGTGCTAGGCTTTAGATTGGCAAATGCAGCTTCTAGGCGCAGCTAAACATCGGGAAACTTTGTCATGTCTGTGTACTGCCGACCAACCTCGCCCTTGACAATTGCCCAAACTATTCTATGGGCTGTAAATCTGAGTGATGAGGAGGAGTAAACACGATGCTGTGGCCACGACTTTCGGCCATGTCCGTGATGATAGGTTTCACGTGGGCTCGGATGTGCGTCGCCAACAGTCCCCAGAGCTCACTCTTGTGCTCATGCCCGCTCGTTGGGATGCCGTACGCTCGACACGCGTCGACCAAGACACCCTTGCGGCGGCCACTCGTTGGGGTAGTCTTGGGCAACGACTTGTGGTACTTAGCGTTGTCGAGCACAATCAACGTATTCGTGATCCCACCTTCATCCATATCGTCGAGCAGCCGCCCAAACCATGCCACGTAGTACTCGGTGTCAAACATGCCGTGGTAGTCCTTGGGCTGCTTCGCTGTCGACTTGCCACCCGTGAAAATGTCGATGGCCATGTCCTTGCTTTCCAGCGTGGGTGAGTCCAGAATGGCAGCGACGAAGCAGTAGCGACGTCCCATGTGCTTCTCCTTTGATGGCAGGTCCATCGTGTCGGACGGGTCGTAGATGGCTTGGTGGTGATCGATGTAGGACTCATCAGTGTACACGACATGGGGGCCGTCCGGCGCGTCAACCAGGGCCTGCATCTTGCGGACGTACACGTCCCGGGCAAGGGCGTTCGCCTTGGACAAGTGGTAGGTGGACGACCCCTTCCGATTCCCACGCTTGTAACCTTGTAACCTTGGGCCTGCAGGTAGCGTTGGACGCTTCGTAGTGCAGCCGCGAACTCCTTCTTGTCATTGGGTTCGTACTCCAGGATGCTCATCTCACGGAGGTAGTTTGACACGTCGGTCGCCGTAGTTCTGGTGCGGGTGGACCGGCGGTCACGGACAAACGCTTGGACCATCTCAGCGACACGCTTGGTACGCGGCACTGTTGTTATGTGTGCGTAATGGTTTGCCGGTGGTGCTAATGCGGTAACAGTCTGGCTTTGTTGGTACTCCCGCCAAACGTCCTGGACAACGTGCATGCTGCGGCCGAGTGCCTCAGCGACTGTCTTGGACGCGGCGGCTACACCCTGACTGCGAAACCAAGCGTGCAAGCGAAGGATGTCGAGCCGTTCCTCTCTCGTGACTTCGCGACGTCGATTATCCTTGACAAAGGCAAAGCAAGCTTCAAGTCGTAGATCCATTTGATTTATGGTAGATACGGTGATATGATGACCAAGTAGCTATTTTTTATCAGTCACAAGAGGAAATAGAGTTGCACAGTACCTCAAAGCACCAAAATAGAAAACCTCTATAACCTTATATCCAAAATCGATTTCAGCATAAATTTATGCGGGTTATGTACAGGGAACGACGCTGAGTAGCGGCGTGATGAGGAGTTGTGATTGGACAGAGACGCGGTTCGAATTGACCAATTGAGGCTCACAAAACCAAAATATAAAAGAAGTATCGAATGAAAAAAATGAGCTTTGAATATAAGATTACAAAGGATATGAATATAAAGAGTAATTAGTACTAGGAAGACATCGAAGCCATGGTTTTCAAGTCCTCATTCTTGCAGGAAACTAATTATCACAAGGGATCAAGGTCATAAAAATGCCTATTACACATATTGCATTACAACGCTGTGACACATGGACTGGATTTGCACCCCTCATGGGGACGAACAAAATGTGATATGACCCCTTATAAAAATACTACAATTTAATATTCTATTCAAGTAAAGAAAAAAGTATACTGTATGGGTCAATGGAACTACATGCCA